CATATGGGAAGCGTTTAGGATTTCCCGTAAGAACTAGGAGTACCACGAAACACAAAAATGGAGTAGATATAGTTGGAGTATTACTAGAGTGCTCTCATGCCGGTAGCAGATCTACTAGGTCAAAAAATCAATTGAAGCCTCAACCTTCAATGCAAATGGGATGTGGAGCAAAAATACGAGCACGCACAAATTATGAGGGACGTTGGGAAATTTCAAAAATCTGTCTTGAGCATAACCATCCCATGAGTCCAACTAAGGCTCGCCTATTCCGGTGCTATCGGACTTTGACTCCCCAAGCAATGAGGCAAGTTGCAATCAACGATGTGGCCGGAATACGACTTCATAAAACTTTCAATGCAGCCGTTGTTGAAGCCGGTGGGTATGACCAACTTCCTTTTATTGAAAAAGATTGTAGGAACTACATTGAAAAGGTAAGACAACTTAGGTTAGGGAGTGGTGATGCCATGGCACTTCAAGAGTTTTTTTCTAAAATGCAAGCTCAAAGCCCCGGATTTTTCTATGTCCTTGACTTAGATGACGAGTCCCGATTGCATAATGTGTTTTGGGCCGACAGTCGATGTAGACATGCATATAAAGACTTTGGAGATGTGATAACCTTTGACACAACCTACCTCACGAATCGGTATGACATGCCTTTTGCACCATTTGTAGGTGTAAATCACCACGGACAATCAAGTTTGCTAGGTTGCGGATTAATCTCTAATGAAGATACGCAAACATTCGTATGGCTATTCACCGCATGGCTTGAGTGTATGGAAGGCCGTGCTCCGATGGGCATTATTACGGATCAAGACCGTGCAATGCAAAACGCCATCAAAATTGTTTTTCCAAATACAAGACACCGATGGTGCCTATGGCATATTATGAAAAAGGTACCGGAAAAAATGGGAGGCATTACAGAAAAAAAAGAAATCTTAGATGCTATTCATGAATCCATTTATGACTCACAATATATTCCACAATTTGAGCAAAGTTGGAATGACATGATACAAAGGTACCCATTATTTCCTTTTAACTATGACCCATTCCAGAAGGTTTTTGTCTGTGAAATAAATATATGTGTTCTTCACAGGCATAAAAAATGTACACCACAGACACAAAACTGTCTGTGAGCAAACATTGTATCTTTACTTCATATATATTTTTAATGTTATTTCAGGTATTCCCTACAAGATCATGAATGGCTTGTAGTCATGTACAACGAAAGACACCGGTGGGTTCCATGCTTCTTAAAGACATTTTTCTGGGCGGGTATGTCTACCACTCAACGAAGTGAAAGTATCAATGCTTTTTTCGATGACTTTGTGCATTCCAAAACTAGTCTTAAGGAATTCGTTGAACAATACGGACGTGCATTACGAAAGAAGGTAGAAAAAGAATTTCACGCCGATGCTAGTTCGTTTGCAAAAACAATTCCTTGTGTTTCATCATTTGAAATGGAAGAACAAGTCCAAGAAATTTACACCCTAGCTAAGTTTAAGGAGTTTCAAGATGAACTTGTAGGTCTTTTGTATTGTGATCTAATACAAAGCGAAGGAGATAGAAAATTTCATGTTAAGGAGGTCCGAAAGATAAATGGGTTTCGAAAGACCATTGACTTTGTTGTTGAATATGATCCACTAACTACATTTGGAATATGTAGTTGTCATTTGTTTGAATTTAGGGGCATTGTATGTAGACACTTGATTGTGGTCTTACGTCGGCTTGGATTGGATTTCTTACCCGAGATTTACCTATTGCCAAGATGGAGGAAAGATGTTAAAAGAGCTTACACAAAGGTGAAAATAAATTATGATGGGTGGATCACAATGGTGGAGCAAGAACGATTTAATAAGTTGTGCAAAACTTTTGAATCACTTGCAAATATGATTGCGGATGATGAAGATAAGTACAAAAGTGTTCTTAATTGGTTGGAGACTCAATTGTCGACATATACTCCTCCCCAAGCTCCTCGGTCTTCCATATGTGGCAACCTAACATCTATCCCACAACCGAGTAGTCGTGTGCAATGTGAGGTTCCAAAAAACATAGGAGATCCTAAGTGTGTAAAGCGCAAGGGTGCTCCGAGGAAAAACCGTCAAAAAGGACCATTGGAGAAAGGGAAAAAGAAATCGGGGGCTAGGAATGACATTGGAAGTGCCCCACCAGATAGCGCTGACCATGGAAATACACAGGAAGATCGTAATGACATGATGAACTATAGTGGTTTAGATTTAAATCTGACTTTGATGTAAATGTGCATGCATGTTTGTTCACAGACATTTATGTAATACGTCACAAACAAATTTGTTGGTCTTCACAAACAAAAGACGTGTTTGTGGGCAATTTTTTGTGTGTTTCAGAAATGTATTTTTTTGTAATGACTGTTTTTGAAACACTTATCTACTTTGGATTACATTGTAATGACTGTTTCAGAATTTAACATTACTCACTTATCTACTTTGGATTACTTTTATTTATTAACATGTTAGATTATAAATATTGAAATTATAAAGTCAGTAATAATTTATAAAACTCGTGATTTATTTTATTGTTCTCTCTTATACAAATTTCAACTGTTATTTATTTTTGGCGAAATGATACCAATTTTCTCTAAACATTGAACATAGTTGTTATTAATTACATAAAGTAGTTATTAATCACATATAACAACACACAAATCACAGACAAAGTCGTATCACAGCATACACAAAGTTTTTCTTCTTCACAAGCAAAAGCATCCTTCGTATATATATATGTTGCCACAAAAACCAAAAGTAAGTGTATGCCAGCAATTCTAGTGATCCTTGGGAGTACATTCTAGGACATTGTACAACATTGATAGTGTAACACTGTACAACCTCCTACATTTAACAACCAAATTCATGCAGGCAAAAATTGAGGATAATAATATGTATCTAGTAATGTTAAATAAATGTTGTACACCCAAACACATCCTCCAATAATTATGTCTAACTCGATCGCTTCCTCAAACTCCACAGCCTCATTGCGAATTCACATCTTTTCGCTGCCATGTTCTCATACGCACACTCGGGCAGCAATGGCAACTTCTGCAACAGTGCTTCGGCAAAGGCCATAACCATGACGCCGCAAACACCGGACCTGGACACACAATAATTAATACAGACATTACATTTACATGCACAGACAAACTATATTTGTGTACAGACAAAATAATATCCACAGCACATGAATGTACCCGGGCTGCTGTTGTGGAACATTGTCCACTGCCTCCGCTTTCCAAGGCTGTGAATTTGCTGTGGCGCTTAGAGCAGGGTTGCATTTTATCACTCGAAACAGGTGTGGAAGTCTCAAACACAACAGCCTCACAGATCCAACTAACCTACGGGTCTTCATAGAATCGTATACCCGTACGATTCTATTGACAAGGTCAATTTCAGACAGCACCCAGTGTTTTCCATCACTGTGCAATGGCATGAACACCTGCACATGCAATAAAGTAGTTAAGATATTAGTGAACATAGTATGTATTCTAGCCTTGTTCTCTATATTTTATATATAAAATGACTTAATATTTTATTATTTTGGAGACAAACCTTATCATACCGGCTCCAGTCCATTTTGTTAAGCAATCGATCCCCACTCCATTGTGAATCGTCATCTATATTCTTCTGTAAAAGTTGGTACTACACCAAAAACAAAATTACAGACATAACAAGTCTTACACAGACAATACTTTATCAATTCACAGACAAGTGAAGTTCAAAAGCACAGACACAATTTAAACTTTTAATCACTTACCGCGAACAACGGACTCAAGAGTTCATAAACCTCGGCGTGTATGCATTCGCGAAACAGAAGAACAAGTGCATCCAAATGCTAAAAAAAATTTATCAAAGCCTAAAAAAACCATTCAATTAAAATATTGTAAAATGAAATAGTCCATATATTCACTCACCTGGCTGCTTAGCCATCCGGTTTCATCAATCAGTTCTCGGAAGAAGGCCCTATTTGTCGGGTAAGATGATGGGATAGCTATCTCAATTACGCACGGTTCAACCTCATCATCTTCCTCCACCCATGCCTTGAAGGATTGACATTCTTCATCACTTTGTTGTGGTAGAGCTCGGTTATTGGTGCCTCCAACCTTAGGCCTCTTTGCGGCGGGAGCTATGAATGGGCTGCAAATGTACTTTGATGGCAACCTCTTTCTCTTCCTCACTTCTTTCATAGTAGCTTCTTCGAGGGCCATCATGTCTACACCGCCGGTTCCAACTTCATCACCAAGGTCCCAATCCAAGTTTGCAAAAGGAGCGTGGGGTGTCAAAGCAGAGTCATCTCCCACCTGCACAAAACATTAAAAACTAGGGATCATATATACGCACACACAAATAAATGTCTGTGAGGACAAGTTTACTATGCCTGTGCACGTAATGTCTAATGTTTGTGTGATATACATACTGTCTGTGAATATAAACAAATTTTACAAATGACAATGTGAACCTCATTCAAAGAGATCAAAAGATCTGTGGGAGTGGGACACTCCTCATACATGTGATCTTCAAGAGTACCCTCCTTCAACTTTGAAATAAAGGAAAAGTTATATTACCCAAAACAATCATGACCAACAATTTTTTTTGAAAGAATAAATGATATGAATGTATCATTGAAGATACCTCAGCCACTACATTCATTACAGGATCAGTTTGTAGTCCCTTTTGTTGTTCACCAACAACATCGTTGGCGTTATCTTCTTCAGCCTAACAATTGGTAAATCACAGACATATCTCAGTCATATATCACATTGACACAGACAACACGAAAGAGTTATACAGACAAAACTTTGCTAAATACAGACACTATAAACTCCACACGACAATAACATTTTTTTAGTTGGTCTTCAACAACTTAATTTGCAATTATTAAAACCCAAACCCAAGATTATCCAAAAACATACCTCAGTTGCAATAGGCTCAGTAAACATATTCTGATCTTCAGGAAAAACAGGAACAGAATTATCTCCTTCACCCTAACCATTATTTATACAGACATTTATTAGTTAAACACAGACAAGACGATATGTACGTAATCATAATACATGGCTACATACAGACACTTAAAATAGCACACAGACAATTAAATGTTATACCTTTTCCTCATAGTATAAAATGAAAACCCGTAAGGTAGAAAACTACATACCACGGTCCTTGCATTGTCAACACCATGTGTAGACATATTTTGATCTTCAGCATGTGGTGCACAAACTTCTGTGTCTTTTTCATGATGACTTGGGGCAGATGGACCCCCCTTACAAACCAACAGCAAAGTATACAGTAAGAGTACATACGAACAAGAATTTACTTAATACAGACAACAGAAAATCACAACACAGACATATCATAACAATTTATACCTTTTCCTGTAAAGCAGTGTTGACTTTATCAATAACCTGAAGCAGCAGGTCTTTTACTCCACCAAGCTGCTCATCCACCCTTTTCTCCAGCCTTTGAAGACTTGTTTTGATTTCTTCAATGTTCACACACATTTGTTGCACCCTTTCCCTTGTTTGTACTTCAAGATTGTCTTCATCTTCATCTTCATTATCGGAAGAAGGGGGGGTAGGCACCTCCTTTGAAAACAAAAACATGACTTAGTATTATAAATATATCCTTCGTATATTAGGGGACAATTATAATAGGAATGATAAAGAAAGAAGACTTCACATTAGCAAAGCAAATATTCCGTATCGTAGAGGCCCGAAATTTCCCATGACATGACCAATTCAATATTGGGACTTCATGATTACCAACACGTGTGCCAAAATGTTCCCCAAAATTAGGTAACTTTTCATATGCCCACACCTAAATAAAAGAAGTATAAGTTAACAAAGAAATATTCAGGAACACAGATCATAAACATTTCTGGGAAGGAAATGTATTGTTTGTGAGCAATCAAAAACATGTCTGGGAAGGACACTTTTGTCTGTGAGCTATTATATGCTGTTTGGGAAGGATAATAAGTGTGTGTAACATGAATAGAAATGTCTGGGAAGGTCAAGTATTGTCTGTGGCAGACAAAACTTTTAGATTACAGTAAAAAATGATACAAAGTAAATATGAATCATACCTGTAGGACCAATGGGAAACCGTAGACCGAGAACTTTGCATTTTTGTAATCAGGGTTGTTAGCTTTATTGTCGAAAAACTTCTGTTCCTGGCCATCAAGAAGCTTCTTTAAATCGGTTACCAGCGAATGGTAGGCGTCTCTGGACCACGGCTCCTTCTTGAACTCCTCAAAGTCATTTACCAGCTGAATAGACCTCCTGCTAATCCTTGTTGACCTGTCTCTTCCGAGCAATACGTTCTCAATCATGTACAAGGATGCAAGCTTCACACCTAGCATCGCTCTGCCTTTTCTAGTAGGACGCACCATTTGAACCCTCTCCTTCAACTGCAAGTAAGTGATATCCAAAGATCCTTTAAAGTCTGTGGTAGCAACCTCCCCAGGTTCTTCCACTTCTTCAGCCTGTTCATCACAATTTTCTTCAACTTCTTCGGCCACGACAGGTCTGGGAGCTGCCACTGGTAATCCGGTAATGCCGCAGAAATCATTGTATGTGAATTCTACAATTTTACCCTCCACATTGAACCAGAGCTCATCTTCAGGCTGTTGCTTCACAAGGCGTAAGAGCAACATGTGCACAATTTGGGCACAAAACTGAATGTCCGGTATATCCAAAAGGTGACCCCACGGTGTGTTCCGGAATGTTGACAATTCTTTCTTAGACAACATGTCGGTAATGCACTTCCTCGCACATTTGTAGTCAGAACACATAGAATACTGTGCAGGGAAATGCTTGCTCAATGGAATCTTAAGTTCAAGTGCCCTGTGATTGCAAGGAATAAGTCATAAGCAAACAGACATATGTTAAGTCACACAGACAAGTACAGACATTAATATTAATGCACGCAGACATATGTGGAGGATTACAGACACAGATTAATCCTTCACAAACAAACACAGCCAGAGAGCCAATTAGTCATTGTGTACAAGTACAGACTTACCTAAGAGGCACACAGACATATGTACACAGATACAGACAATCATAGAAGCATAAAATCAACCTTACACAGACAATACATATTCTTCAAAATCCAATTTAATATCATCAAATAGCCTAAAAGTGTAAAAAAAATCAAAAACTAAGGACAAGGATACATACCTTTCAGCCATGGTTGATAGCGGGGTTCGGACCATTGTCAACTGAAACGGAGGTTGGCGGGAGGAGGGTTCGTGGCGACGACTGTGCGTGGAGGGTTAGTGGCGACGAGGGTGGAGGGTTAGCGGCGACGAGGGTGGATGGTTAGCGGCGTCGAGGGTTCGTGGATGGTTAGCGGCGGCGACAGTTCGTGGATGGTTGGCGCCGGCGAGGAACCCTTCGTCGAAGGGAGAAGGTTGGCGACGGGGTTTGGGAACTGTGATGGGAGAAGGGGCAGGTGGGATGCGCGAGGGGGGTGGTGGGATGCGGGAGATTTTTTTGGGAGCGGGAGAGATTTTTTGGATGTGTGCACGTGTGGAATTGGCTGAGGTGGGGGAAAGGGGGGTAATTTTTTTTTGGATTATTTATAGTGTGTATGTGTGTGTATGGATTTTGTGTAACAATAGAAATTTTGATTTAAAAATTCAATCCAGCTTGAGGTACACATTTTCATACACACACCTACACACTCATGTTTGTGAAGAGTATTTTTTTGTCTGTATACAGACTTAACACATTTGAAAATGTGTTAAGTCTGTATACAGACAAAAAAATACTCTTCACAAACATGAGTGTGTAGGTGTGTGTATGAAAAATGTGTACCAATAGATTTTTTGTTAAAAATTACTCCGCGGTAGTTTACTTTGTAGTACTCCGTACAAAATTAGTCAGTACTACACTACTACGTATGTGTTTGGTTTCAAGATTATCGCAAGCATATCAAAAACTACATCTAAAATACGAGTAATTCATCTATTCCTAAATTAAATTCTTACTTTCATTTTATGGATGTCTCAAAATTAAATTTTCACATCAACCTTTTTTTTGTTTTACCTCAGGGGCAGGGGAAGGGATTTGGGGGACCTGGGATAAACTGATATCAATCTCACTCCATTGAGAATTGAACTTGAGACCTCTCATAAGGGAGAGTGAGTCGAAATTAAATTTTCACATCAGCTTCTTTTTATATTTGATAAGATTTTATTATTTATTTACCATTGATTGGAAAAATAGCTACTACCACTGTCCCATAAGTTCTTATATATTACGTATCATTTTTCCATACAAAATATGACAAGTTATGTTTTTGCAAAAAAATATTACTAGTCACTGTATACGGGTAATTAGACAAGAGTCACTATAGTGTATTTCAAAATAACAAGTCAGTGATAATGATTAGTTAATGAGACCTACTCGCAGAATAATGTCACTTTTTTGGAAAACAAATTAAAGGAAAATGAGGCCCTTCTATTATTTCAAATCCATCATCTTAGTCCTTATACTAAGAAATATATCAAATGCGTACGTTTAATCTGAAAAAACAATCCTCCTCGAGCCATTTTAACCTGCTATAACAAGTATTTTTGAAAAAATAAATTACTACGAACAAAACAATAATAAATTTTATAAAAATTCATATAACGTGAAAAATAATGTAATAATAATATATAAATTCGTAAAAGTGAAAGAAGAAAAGAATAATAATTTTAAAATAACAAAAAAAATAGAAAAAAACAAAAAATGTAAAAAATATTAAATAAATAATATAAAAACTTTTAAAAAGATGTAAAATTAAGAAAACAAAATCCAAACAACGGCAAAACATAGAGTTTGTCATTGTTAAATTGTTCATGTATTTTATTTATATTTATTCAAATTTTAATAATTTTTTTAGAATTTTATAAATTAAAAAACCTGCTATTACAAGTTAAAAACCGGTTAAATGGTTGGATTAAACTATTTTCAAAGTAAGTGTATTTTAATAATACATTTTTTAGTAGAAGGGTTTAAGTCATTTATTAGAAGTAATATAAGGATCTATTTGACCCTTTTTCATTTTTAAAATATATCATATTTTTGTCTTTTGAATTTATTAGTAATATTTATAGAAACGACCTAAAAACTACTTATAATAACACATACGCATGATTTACAATATTAGAGGATTCACAATTCTGAAATCTTAATTTTACTCATATAAAAATGGAGCGATAAACAACAATCACAAATATTTGGAACAACATACTGCTAAATCTGAAAAACAAATACTCCACAAACAAAATCATGTACCGTGATGACTAATAAATATGTGAAAATATCATCTATGTAGCTATGTAACATAAAACTCATTTAATTTTTGTTATTCAAACACGTCATATATTCATGACAAACCAAATTAATGTAATTAACTTCGTTGACTCAATTATCGCTTGTTTTAACAATGTGAAATGTAACAATTTTAGCAAAAAAAGTAATTCACTGTTGGGGTTTTGACATGAATAATACTAAAAAAAGAGCTAATAGACAAAAAAGTGAACTCTTATTTTAATTTCCAAAAATATGACTAATAAATCCTTACATGTCTGTACCCTTCATCATAATTTAAAAAGCTCCATCCCATAAAGTTGATTACTTCCGTCAAAGTGCAAGTCTGCAAGTCGTCGGATTGCTAATGCTTCATTGCTTAATAACATTGCAATCTCTGTTTTTTTGCAAGAACATTGGATTTTCCAATTTTTTTTAATTTAATGTTATTTCTTAAGATACATATTTAAATATTTAAATTGTTACACAAAAAATTGTTTGAACAATTATACCAGTTACTACCGTTCCAATGACTAATGTCTCAGTTACTACCATTCCAGTGACCACCCTACTCATCCAGTTACAGTTACTCGATCCATCCAGTTATTATGTACCCAACCTGTCCAGTTACTTTTATCCGATCCGTCCAGTTACAGTTACCCGACCTGTCCAGTTACAATTATCTAACCCGCCCAGTTACAATTATCCAACTCGTTCAGTTACAGTTACCTGATTCATCCAATTACAGTTATCCGACCCGTTCAATTACTGTTACCGTCTAATTACAATTATATTATGATCACCGCTAGCCACCACCGCCTGTAACCACCGCCGGCCACCTATCCCGGCCACCGCCCGACCACCACCAACCACCGCCCGGCCACCACCAACCACCGCTGCGTCACCCTGACTTGCTCCAACCCCCTACTCAGTCCCATCCTCGTTACGATCTGCCGCCCCCAACCGGTCGATCGGGTCGCCAGTGAGGACTTTGACCACCACAGTCACCGCCGCTCGCCATTGTAACCCTAACAACCGTCTCGTCCTCGCCTGTCCAGTATCCCTCTTGGATTTGCCTCTTTCGGTCATGGTCACGAGAATCGTCGCCATCCATGGGGTGAGACAGAAAGAGAAGAAAGAGAAATTAGATGGGATGGCGGCGAGCAAAGAACTCGGCGGTGTGGTGCGCGACGAAGACAGCAGGCGGCGGCTGTAGGTGAAGGGGAGATCGCAAGGAGAAGCACAAAGGTCGTAGGGAGAACCATGGCGGCAGCA